CCATTATTTCAGAACATCGTATATTGAGCCGAGGTGGCGCAGTGGTTAAATGCAGCACTGCAGGCTACTTCAGCTGACTGCTAGTTCAGCAGTTCAGCGGTTCAAATCTCACCGGCTCAGGCCGGTGACTCAGCCTTCCATCCTTCCGAGGTGGGTGAAATGAGGACCCGGATTGTTGTTGGGGGCAATATGCTGACTCTGTAAACCGCTTAGAGAGGGCTGAAAGCCCTGTGAAGCGGTATATAAGTCTAACTGCTATTGCTATTACTATTGCTATATAAATTAAATACATAATCACAAAATAATTTTGAAAAGTGGTCCAAAATTTTTAAAGCTAAATAAATCTTGTGCAGAACTGCCTCAAAATATAGCCGTACTTGAAAGGCCTCAGCAGAGAAATAGCTCACCTAATGGAATCACTGATTCCACAATTTAACTTCTTACTCCTACTCCTAAATTTCAGATGAAATCTTCCTTCCTGTAATTGTAGCCCATGAGATATTGTCATGTGCTTAGTGCAGAAGAACAACATTGGAAACAAATATAAAGCTTTAGTTTTTAAAACATGTCAATATTCCTTGATGTTCCACATTGCTCAGACTGCATGCTGAATAAAGAATTTATCATTACATTTTAGGAAGGACATATGTAAAGTGGAACATGTCCAAAAGAAAGAAATCAAGGATGATATAAGAAACCAGGGAGGAAATCAAAGGGTTGCTATATAGAAAACAGGTCTATGTATTTGGAACAACAGTCAATCATTCACCTTGAAATACCATCACCCAATGGTAACCAAGGAAGAAAGAGAAATGAGATACAACAAGAGGATGCTTCTTGGTCCTGATCAAATGATATGCATACTTTGGGATTGTGGTTACTTGCAACCCCATGTAAGGGGAAAAAATCTGATTTTATTGGCAATGATGAGCTTTCCTTTTATTCTTACTTGACAAGGATCATATCTCACAGAAAACATCCCTCCATGCTTTATGAAGGGTTGGTAATCCATAACTCAAAGTAAATACTATTGAATACATAAATATGATCCTTCTCTTTCTTCCATATATCTTGATTTTAAAGTTTGTTCTGTTGAATCAGACAGTGTAAACAAACAATGGACATATTTTAAAATAGCCATCCAAACTATTTCTCAGCCTGACATAAGTTCTTATAAAGACAAGTATGTCCATAGTGATTTTTCCAAAATACTTGACTTCTTTTTCCCAAATGAGAAGACTAACTAATTGCTAATACTAGTTTTGGAAATCTGGCACAACCACAGCTATTTGACTGTCCAAGAATAAAACAGAGACAGTATAAAATATATTTTCGAATTGTTTATTATACTTTTTAACTTCAGAATGTAAATTTCACAAAAAACTCACTACTGAAAGCCTGTAATATATAATCCAGAATGAATCATCTAGATCAGTGTTTTTCAACCATGACACTTTAAATCCTGTGGATGTCAACTCCCAGAATACCTCAGTCAGATATACTATGAATTCTGGGAGTTGAAGTCCATAGGTCTTAAGTGGCTAAGGTTGAGAAACACTGATTTAGGTAACTAGAGCTCTCTCTTAAAAATAAAATAAACATGAAAACTAGTGTCAGTGCCACTAGATAAACCAGAGTAGGAAATTACAAGAAGACTAAAAGTACTTTAGTGAGATTGGCTGCAACAATAGAATCTTGCAAGTCTGATTGTGCTGTATCTTCTCTTCTTCTTTATAGTTCAGTGAGTTAGGGAGGCTGCTGAGAAGCTTCTGAATCTTATCTAGCTGTTGTGTTTCTGCCAATGTCACCCTTTTCACACACCTCGGTCAAAGCCATTTCGTTACTCTTTATGGCCAGTTAACAGAAAATCATTATTGCTTGATAAATTAAATCAAAGAAGCAATTGTCTCAAATAAACATGAGGCATACAGTATGTCCTTAATAGATCAATGACACAAAACCACTTTGCTTAACCACCACAATTAGACTAGAAACTATGGTCACTTAACTGCCACAGTCATTAAGCGGAAAAACATGTGTCTGTGACTAGCTTAAGACCTTATTTCCCATTTGTGAACCACCATGGTCATTAAGCAAAATACCACAACTGAGACTTCCTCCTTATCTAGTAACTCTTTTGTCATAAGCATAAGCCAATTGCAAAGAGAAGTCCATAGTGATGGGATGCTGCAATGCTCATAAATGTGAGCATTGCTCATTAAGCATTTTATTTCATTAATGTGACTTTGAACAGTTGCTAAATAAGGCAGTCAGTGACAGAGGGCTACCTGTACTTTTTCTTCAAAGTTTCAAAGTTTAATAGCATTTGTATGCCGCCCAATCCCGTGGGACTCCGGGCGGCTAACAATACAAATCAAAAAGAATTATGAATTACTTCGTATTATGTTCCAATGAAATCAGGGAAGAATGCCTGCCTGAATTCTTTTTAATACTACCTTGCTTCCCAGAACTTAAGGAAAGTTTCAGCCCTTTTTAGAATGGTTCTTGCTTATTTCCTTCATGGTCATCACTAGGTCAGTATATTCTGGAGAAGCTATAATAAGGTGAAATAAAAAGCTCTTTGTTTGCCAGCTTTTGTACAGACACAGTTTTTTTTTAAATGTAAGCATACTTCCTAAGGGCAACTGAAAGTATTTGAAGGATTTATATCAACTGTCCGCATGCCAAATAGATAATCACAATAACTCTTCAATATATTCCATCAGTTCTGCAGCCAGAATCTGAATCTCTTGTCTGAGTATCTCTTTTAAGAGCAGGATACAAAACTTCAAGGATTTTGAGTTTAATACAGGATTAATTTGAACCAATCACAATATTTCAGTCACATCTCTTCTTTACAGTATGGCAATAAAATAGTAAAAGAAAGTTTATTCCCATAATTCTGAGTTCTTTGGGGAAAAAACATAGTGATAAAAAATATAATACACAAATGGTAGCCACACACTATGAAATGTAGACATGTACAACACTGAGTTCAGAAACAAATCCCTGGTCTTCTTGTGTCAAGAAGCAAGCAGGAGAAAAAAAGAATTCAAACTTCTCAAGATGATCTACCCTTGTTCAACAAATCTGCTAGTTTATTTGTGCAAATCAGAAGCCATATTAGCATGTCTCCAAATCCAGATATAGAGTGCTACTCAACTATGAATTTGCTAAAGGAAATTTCAGGTACTATTGGATTAAGAATGAAGCAAGATGAAACTAAATAGCTTATCCAAAATTGTATCTATACCAAGACCATTCCTGGTATACAAACTTAATAGTGTGAATTTTTCAATTCACAGTTATATTTTAAGATTAGATTTAGAAAAGTATTCTTATAAGTAATTTGGAGCTTGCTAAGTATTCCTTTCCACTGGACAAATGGTATTGAGAGATTATAAATAATTGGATATAGATTAGTAACATAAAAACATCTATGTTGAAAAGCTTACAGTTGAGCTTTACACTCTAATTTTAAGCAAGCTCTCCTGTATCAATAAAATTTATAATTCTAGTTATAAAATGTATTTATAGAATTTGTAAGGCCATTTATAAAATATGATTATTAAAATTTGGATAATATATACTTTATCGTTTTTTTTCTTTTTGCAGTACAACCTAATTTTCTTTGCCTTCTTTCACTTGGTCCCCCGTCCCAAATATAGCTCTCTGCTAATGATGCAGATATCTCATGGACAGCAAAATGAATCAGATCTATGCAACTTGTGACCCATCAAAGAGGTCACTCATTGTGCTTGAGGACACTTATGTCGTGCAGTTGTGACCATATGGTCTTTTGAATGTGATATCTCAATTTCCATTAGAAATCTTTGTCATAGGAATATGTGACTAGAATTCATGATTCCTGTTTTAATTTGGGGGCATATTCTACAGGTATTACTGTACGAACGATAGAACTCCAGTTTTGATACAAGGCATAAAAATCCATTTCTTAATAGAAGGCGAAAGGATGTATAACTCTTCCAACTACTCTTTTCTACCCTGATGCTAAATGGTCAGCCGTTACTTTGTATGGGGAGAATAGGGTTACTTACATTAACTTCGGTTATAGCAATATCAACGACGCTACCAACAACAATTAAGGCATCAAAAGTGTTCCATGCATCAGTGAAATAGTGCTGTTAGGACAAGCATTCAGTAGCACGAGAAAACAGAAACAGAAAAGAAAGAGAAGAAAAGGACAGTGTTATAACACAGAAACACAATGTACCAGTACTGCATCTTTCCATCTCAAATCTGAGAAAACAGGAAGCAAACTATGAATTATGTCTGTCCTGCATTTGGAGTTAACAACATATCCAAAGTTCTGTGACTTGTCCAAATAACATAATAAAAGGGGGAAGGGAAAACAGAGAGAAAGAAAGATCTGGGGGAAGGAGAAAGAAAAAGAGAGAGAGAAAAAAACAGCACAGTGGGATTGCGGGTGTTTGCCGGGAAATACTCACATCGGCTTCACTGAGAACGATGTCTACTATGCTGCCAAGAACGACGAGGGAGTCAAACGAGTTCCAGGCATCACTAAAATAGCCCTGAACAGAGCAGGCAGGGTGCAAATGTTTGTAATTACATATGAAATGTCAGAATATTTGCATACTTCTGTTTAACTTTTTCATAAACAGAAATTACGTCAAACAAAAATGTTGTGGCCTTATGAGAAGAGAATAAACAATATTGCCTACTGAAGAGAAAGGCTTATATGTGACATGATACCACTGCCATATGCCAACAGAGTTCTGCAGCAGATGGTTTATGTTGTAAATATGGACACAGGGTACTGGCAGTATGAGCAAAGAATATCTGCACTCCACACTGTTCCAATGAGGCTTCACTACGAATTAACATCAACTTCTAAAGTAGTTATAGTTATGGATGAGAAGTACCACAAGCCCTGCCCAACTGATGTTGCCCGAGGACACCAGTTTGCCACCTCAAGGTTAAACTGTTGGGATACTCATGGACACCTGATAAGCCTCACTCACAAGTAACTTTTCACTGTCCAAATGCATCTTTCCTAACATATACTGGAAGAATGGCTGCCTGTGTAAAATCCTGGTGGGCAGGACAATTCAGAGGAGAATATTAAAATCTAAATATAATTTCATGCTTCTATGTAGTGTCCAATAAGTGCCCTGTGTGGAGAATTAGGTTTTAAACAGAATCACTCCAAATCTTACCACGTAGATAGGATCACAATGGCTTACACAGTGCCAGACCATTTTCCATCAGAGTATGTTTTTTAAAACCTTGGCTGTGTTCACATGGCATTTTTAACTCATCATTGGTAGAGTTAATGATTAGTATGCTGTGAGAACACTTATGCTCAGCCATAGGTTAGAAAGGGGTATTTTTAACCTAAAATACAGCCAGGATAGTTGGAATTTGCCAACAGTTTCAAAGACAGGTTTGTAGTAGCTGAGCATCCTACAAGGCTGCACTTTGGGTAGAAACAGTTTGAGTCAGTTATGTGATACAAACTGATACCTCGTCTAGCAGTCTTGAAAGGTTTCCAAAAGGGAAAATTCTCCAGATCTATTCAGAAGGGCTAAGGATTAAACTACCGATCTTCTGCCTGAAAGCAAGTATTCTAGCACTAAAGTATGATCCTTCTGATATTGGGTATGATTAATAATGCCCAAAATGAATTAAACATTGAACAAAGTCATTTTGACATACAATGTAAGAAATTATAAAGATAACTATGAAACTAATGGGCAACACACAGATCAGTGTGGCAGTTTAAATGAGCTTCTATGACTCTTTTAAAAAATAAAATTCTCTGGGCACTCCGAAACGCTTGCCAATCTTTAACCGGAAAATATTTGAATGGACCCCCCCATCTTATTAAGTCACTATAAGATTATTGGAATTTTAAACTGCATGTCACATATTAATCAATCAAGGTACACCTTTCCCAAGCTCAATATTGTTTTCAGCAATGTATAGGGGCAAAGCAAGCAAATACAAATAAGAACACAAGTGAAAGAAATTGAGATGATTCTGGAAAAGGGAAAAATGCAATATATGGACAAGTCACAGCAAGTAAACTCGCATCACACATCTCATAATCTTCATCACTGCAATAACCAAAGATGAAATTACTTACTAGGTATCTTTTCTTTTTTGGCACACAAATCTGATACAAAATGGCAAGGGAAAATAATTCCATATTTAGTTACAGAATGCTTGGTTTTCACGACCTCATGAACTTTGCAAATAATTTATGGTATTCAGGTTTTTTAAAATTTGAAAACAAGTAGTGGGATGGCTTGTAGCATAAAGCATGGTGTTGTCCCCCACTCCCTCATTGGTAAGTTGCAGGGCTAAACCCCTGATGACTTCTGTGAACTGAACATGCCCATCTGGAAAAGAATCCCTAAGTTCAAGTAGCTACTGACAAAGTTGAGTCTCTTGGCTCAACAGACATTCTGATTCCATAGGTGGCCTTCTATGGAAGAGCCTGTCTTCTAATGGAGGTTCATCTCCACTCAGCATGTGGATACTGGAAAACCAGATTTTCATCAGTTATGAGAGATGACATGGTTTTACTCCTAGTTCAAAGTATAATTGACTCCATGATGAATGGCAGAAATGACTATGCATCTACAAAGCCTGGGGTCAGATTGGATCCATAACCAAAATAAAAATCTGATAATGGCTTGAATCCAAATTGTTATTTCTGAATAATACCTGAGAACGTTAAACTACTGAATTGGGGGGGGGGGGAAGTCACGTTAAATTTATGGAGTCCATTTGCTTATTTGCAAACTCTTCATAAGCTACACTGCTTCCAAAATGTGTCAGTGCCCACCTACAAACATATGTCTCTTCTATTTGCCCAAATTATATTTTAAAAATCTCTGAAATGTGTGACATAAGGACACTGCCTGTTTTGTGTTATAGTACTATAATGGTTAAACATGCCATCAATACGTTTGGGAGTGTAATGTATGTTTAGAACTATCAGAAAAAAATAATGGATTTATAACATTAATATGTTCCTTATTTATATATTACCAGCAATATTTTTTTTTAAAAAAATGTTTCTACATTTTATTTCCTGCAGTTGCATAAACACTGCTATCAGATTTAAGATTTCTGGTGAAGATACTGTATTTCTCATAATTAACCATGAAAAACTTACATTTACCTACCTATGTGTGCTAATTTAAACATAGATACTTGTAAATTAAAACAAGCAACTAAAAAAGAAGTGCTAATTAAATCCTACTTAATCTCTTACCTTCGGTTTAAATGCAATGAGTTTCAGAACCATTTCAACAGTAAACACTGCAGTAAACACCATATTCAAAATATCCATTGCATCATTAAAAAGTTTAGACTGTCCATAGTGCTATGAATAAAACAAATAAGAAAATTATTAATATAACTAATTATTTTTACAGGCAATCAAAATAAACAAAACAATACATCTCTAACACTCTAATGCAAATCTTGTACTAAAAAAGATTAATATGAAATTCTATGTTGTTAATACTTCACAAGGAAAAATTTGGAAGGTGCAGCATAAAGACTAAAACCCAGGAAATGGTGTGTTCTGGTCCCTCCTTAGGCACAAAAGCTAGCTGTGTGGCTTTGGACCGGTCATTCTCTCTCAGCCCAATCCACCTCACAGGGTTGTTATTGTGGGGAAAATAGGAGGAGGAAAGTGTATTAGCTATGTTTGCCACTTTGAGTTATTTATAAAAAACTAGCTGATAACCCAGCGTTGCCTGGATATTTATTTATAGGGGGGAAATGTCCAGACCAAACATAATTTCTAATATTGGATTTTTCCCCATACCAGAGTGATCCCCTTTGTGAAGTACTGTGAAGCCATTACCATGGCAACTCCACTGCACTGTACAGTAGCCATTTTACAGAAGTACAGTAGAAGCCATTTTAAGGCACAACAGGCTGTATCTTAACAGAACTCTCACCCCTAGGTGAGTGCTAGGGGTGTCTTACCCCAACAGTATTTTTTTCCAGAGGGTAAGTCAT